CTGCTTACATAAAAGATATGGTATTCAGACACTAAAAAGTTAGAGTGTGGTCATTTTTATCAGAACAATTTTTTTATTGCTGGAAAGAATTTCTCTCTCAATGAAAAAAGTATCCTCTTATCTATTAGCAACATATTGCATTTCAATTATGTATCTTTATCAATGTTATGTGCTTGTTAATTAAGGAGTTTTTTTTTGTATCAATGTAATTTTTCTCTTTATAAATCGACATTATTTCTATGAACATATGTACTTGCCTACATTGTTTTTAATGAAATAAAGAATATATTATTATCATTATTATCATATTAGAATAAGTTAACATAATCCACTGAGTCAAATTAAAAATTCGGGACTTACAAATAAATGACTTTTGAAAGTAGTTGACTGAAAAAATACAATTCAAGTAACAAATGAACACACTTGAGAAAGCTATTATACAGCAAAACACGTGTTGTAGTTTTGTAAACGAACAGAGGTACTATGTTTATTACCTCATACCTGCTATATTTGCAAACATACCCACCCGTCACGTTAATTCTAACACGTATGCCATTTTCAGGTCCTTAGCGAAGACAGTTCAGACACACTTGAAATCCTTGAAGAACATGGACCAATTACCATAATTCGATCAGCCATATGCATTCTCCAGACTGAAACGGATCCCATGGCTCTGTTGGAAACGCTCCCGAAGAACATCGAGAGTCTCACCTTGATTCAAGGATACGAGTCCGGGAACAAGTCAATAAAATTCTCCTATCTGAAGGAATTTCCACAACTAGTTACTTTGGAGTTGGTGGGACCGAATTCGTTGAATCAACCGCTAAATAGTCACTTGATATGCGAAATCGACGATTCCATGCCCGATTTGAAGTACCTCAATCTTGAAAGAATCCTCATATGCAACTCAAAGCAACAAATAATACAGTTTCTTAAGCAAGTCAATGAAGAGAATCTCACTTTTGAGTATGTAAAAAAAGCAGATAGCGAAGCCCACGCCCTGACATTGATACAAAAAGGCACTAACGATGAAGATATCGTGCCCTACGAAGTCTTCAAACAACAAAAAGAAGCCAGCGGAGATCCTCCACTTTTCATAGGCTTCAACAAACTCCTGCTGCTCAGAATTACCAACTGCGAGCTGAAGAGTATCAATTGGGAGATGTTCGATGGACTGAGAGATCTGCAGTACTTGATTTTAGAAAAGAACGAACTGAGATTTATTCCACCTTTTGCATTTTATGGTACCCCCAACCTGAGAACACTGTCTCTAGCTCACAATAAGTTGCTGGATATTCAAATAACGGACCTGGCGGGACTATTTCAGTTGGAATACTTAGACTTATCTTTCAATAACTTCACTCAGTTGTCTGAACTCTCGCTGCCCCCTTTTCCCAAACTAAAGCTTGCCAACTTCGGGAATAACCCCATTGGGGTGATTTTTCCAAATACGTTTGAGGTTATGAACACCACTAACTCTCTGGTAATAGGCAGCGATGATATACCCCTCACTCTAATCACCAATTCTTTGGTGGGGTTGAACCTGTTGGAGAAGTTGACTTTGAACAACTTGGAGTTGAAGGTGCTGAAAAGGGACTTATTTGGCGGAATGCCTAATTTGATTGAGTTGATATTAAGTGGAAATATAACTGAGATAGAGTATGACGCTTTCCTAGAAGTGAACAAACTGGAAAAGCTTATACTGACTAACTGTAACATAAGAAACATTTCAATGGACGGTTTCTTGGGGTTACAGCATTTGAACTACTTGGACTTATCTAAGAACCAGCTTGAATATATTCCTCCAGGCACTTTCGACCACTTAATAAACATCAAAGAACTTTATCTTAATGATAATAAATTCACCCAATTGCCTTTTGGAATTTTCGCAAAAATACATCCTAAGCTTCTTAGATTAAATGAAAATCCTTGGCATTGTTCTTGTGAAATGAGTGATTGGAAGCCTTTGCTTGTGAACAAAATCAAACAAAGAGTAGTTAACCCTTGTGACTTTTCCAAAGACAAGGGAATTTCCTGTTCATTTGATAACCGTGTTACTGTCAAATATGTTTACGAAAACAGAGTTGCTCCTAAATGCTCCGAACCAAAACAACTCGTGAACTGGAATGTTTTTCACGCGATGCGACGAGTGCTCAAATGTCCCGATTACAAACCTAAGCTGAGGAAGCATCCAAAAAGTTTCACAGGAAATGAAACTGCGAAAACAAAACCAATTCCAGTACCGACTCCCTCGTTTGAAAATCTAGATAAGTTGGAGAAACTGAAATACAAACTCGAAAAACATGGCACAATTTCTTTAAAAAATGTTCCAGAAAACATGCAACCTATCGAAGACATGGATGAATTCAACAAGATCAATTTAATGAATAATTTTGAAGCTAATGTGAATAACATTGCAATAAAACCTGTAAAACGAAGAAGGAAACTCAAGAAAGGGTACAGAAGATTCAAACTGAAACAAAACCAAATGAGCAATAACATCATATAAGTCTTTAACCAAGTTCGTTGGATATTTTGTGATGAATAAGTGGGGTTTTAATTATAATGCAATAAACTATACCAACTGGAAGTTAATTTGACAGATAACTATTACAAAAAATAAATAATTTTCCATGGTAACGTTTATTTCAATAGAAAAATGACTAATTCAAATGAGAAAATTTAAAACCCTTTATACTAGTTTTAGAATGTTGACAGATCTTATAAGCATCCATCTGTTCACTTCATGTGAGAATGGTTGCTTTTCAGTGATGATGGAATAAATAGATGATGGAGAAATTTTGATATATATGTCACCATTTTCGTAGAACCCGTATAGTGAAAATCTTAAAATAAGTTGGTTAAAATATATCTGTTTTCCAGGCGAAAGTGTGAAAAATCTTGTAATGCACAAGTGCTATAACATTGAGGCCTCAAAGAGATGAGAGCATCAATATTTTATTCGATATTGAGACTGGTCCGTAAATGCTGTGACGAACTGAAGAAGCTAGCGAATTGGCATAGAATGACTCTTTATATGGAATTACATAGGACAAACAAGCTTATGACCGTGCTACACACGGATCACCAACTCCAAATATGGACCTTAGACGAATCATGGATGCACCAAAATTTATAGTATAGGACCAAATGAGAAAATAGGACAATACAAAACCTGAACTGTACTGGAAACACACAGGGAAAACTTTTATAAAGGGATCTTGTGAAAGAAGAATTGAAACAAGCAATTTATGGTAAACCTAAATTATGTCCAGAAGAATACAACAAACATCCAACAAAGGAACTTCATTCATGAAACAAGATTACTGGAATGGGTGGAAAAAAATAAGATGGTGGAAAAAACAATAAGCCGAAGAGGTTACTTTTGGGATACTAGGAAAAAATAGACAAGACAATTTTTTTCTTCCTTTAATAGTCTTTTGCATGATACTTTTCTGATAATGACTCTGTTTTGTGTTTGCTGAATAATGGTGAACCAGTGTTAAAAATAGAATAAGTAAAAAAAATTTAATTAAACGGTTTTGTGGAAAAAAATAAACAAATAATGACGTAGATAATGTACTAAAAACTAAAAAATAATTAGGAAGGTCCTAGGTAGCAGTCATCACACCACTCTTCTCAGCAATCTATGGTATTGATCAGATAAAAAAATAATAAAATTGTTGGGCGAGTAAATATGTAGATACTACGCCCAACGAATTTATTATTTTTTTATTTGATCGATACCGTAAATTGCTGAGGCGAGTGGTGTGATGGCTACTACCTAGGACCTTCCGAATTATTTTTTAGTGCATTATCTACATCACTAATTTTTTTCACATGTTACTGAATTCTTCTCATTCTGTTGAGTTCATTTAGTGCCTCAGTATTACAAGGTAATATTTAGATTTACAATGATACGGAATTTGTTAAATTGTATTGTCATCAAAACTAAATGTGTGTACCAAATTTCAGATCGATGTGTCGACAGGAAGGGGGTTAAACTTCAATTACTAAAAACGACCCAAACAAATAAATGAACAAACAGAGCAAGTTGAATAAAACTGTTCAACGATAAATTATAGTTTAAAAAACTTAAAAAACTAAAAAAAAAAGTTATATGAAGTACTGGTGATATTTTGACCCCATCTATACATTCCCGAGAGGAAAAGAGGAAGTCCAGGGACACCCTGTATTTTTATTCAGTTTTGATTGATAAAAATGTATTATGCTCAGTTATTTCTTCTGAATTCTGCTACCATAACACAATTGCTTACTTAATCTATAGTTTCCAAGTCATTAGCAAAGCTTTACAAACGTAAATATGGAAGGTTGTTTGGAACTTGAAATGTTGGTTTCAGAAACGCCTCAAGATTAACTGAAAGGGTTACTTGTGTCTCCAGATGGCCTTTTTGCCATTCCACATGTTATTATTATGTATAAATATGTACTCAACATTTTTTCTTCAGTAAGTTCTAGAGAATTTAAGAAATTCAACCAGATATTGTAAAAAGTAACTGAGTACTGTTACTAAATATAATCTAAAAAATCCTAACACATCCAACTCTTCAAATTTTGTCTTTAGTTGAAATCTTAAATTATTTTCGAATTTTTTTTCGGTTTGTGTTGCTATTGAAGCGTATTTTTTTTAGTTTTTTGAACTATAATTTATTTTGCACTTTTTAGTCTGGCTTGCTATTTCAAGCCCATTTGTTTTAATATGAACTATATACGCATGCTCAGACAGAGTGGTTGTCTAACTTACTCTCACACAGAGACTATGTGAGGAAATTATTTAATCCTGGCGATCCTGATCAGGATAATGAGATAAACTTATGGAAATATTGTATTGTCACCGATACTTGATACAAAGTTTAAAATACATCTGTTCGTTTGAAGTTAGTCAAACTCGAGTCCAAAAAGGAGTCGGTTACAAACAAACAAAGTGAAGCACAGTGAAGCTAATATAAGTGTGTTAAAAAGAATTACAAAACACATACCTCTTAACAATGTCGCTCCAGCTCCTCTATATATGCTCCTGATACCACCCTGTTTATACAGTTTCTTGATGCAATCCACTGGACCATTATATACCTTGGGTGTATTTGCTCCTTGTTGAATTTGTAATAAACATTTAATCCGCTCACCAGGAGCCATAATGATAGTAGTAAAAATTCCAGAAAATGCACCGGCAGTGAAATATTCCATGTAAGAATGCCTTGTGCCATCAGATGGACCAAAAATTTTTTTTCCTACCCCATAGCCCATGAAAGATATTGCGAAAATTGGAGCTACACCCACTAGAGGAGCCCCCATTCCTTTATATAATCCCTTGAATCCTTCATTCTTGACAGTTTTTTTGAAACAGTCTAGTGTACTTGTATATAGCGGTGATTCCCCCGATTTGGGGATTGGCATAGTTTGGAGTCGAACCTAAAGAAGAAACATTTTTCAAAAGGTCAATGTATGCAAGTAAGAATTTCTCAATAATACTGGTCAAGCTGCCTAAATGAATACCATGCGAAAGAAGGGGGAAAACAAATAAAATATGTTGATTCAATCGATGCAAATTCTACCTAGACCTTACCTACTCTCTAAACACCTCAATATTATACTACCCTTCCATGAAATGTCAGAAATGTATATAAGAAGTAATGTTTATTCAATTACAGTAAAGGCGAATTGGTCTATATAAAAGCTACTCGTTTTTACTGAAAATGAAGACAGATGATGCATGTGGTAAAATTTGCAGCTTTTGATAAAAGCAGGTAACAGATGATACCGGAGCCCAAACAGCTTTGCATCCATGATCGAATACGAGACATTGCTGTTTCGATCAGTGACAGGCTCATGGATGCAACATACGAACAAGAACAACGCTGAGTAAAAAGGAAATAAGGGAAGTTATCGACGTTTCTTAAATACAGATAGTAGACGAACAAGATGACTTTCTTGAGGAACACCCCACTTGTACTTGTCTCTATCTTTGAGGTTTTTACTCGGAAAAAAACTATGACAAAAATACCATTTGAACAATAGAATCTTATGATTGTTATAGTCAAAAACTCAGGACAAAAAAGAATAGGCCATCAAATAAAGTACAAGAGTAAAAATAAGTACATCAGTGATTCATGATAGGCATAATGCAGTGAAACAGATCGTTAATTCATGTCTCAGAAATGAAACATTGTATTCAAATTTACTTAGATGCAATGCTTGTTCTTGCGTAATCAGCAGATCATCTTAGGTTAAAGCAGAGAAAACAGAAAGAATTGTTTTGATAAAATCAAGAACAGTCTCTGTTGTCATGAAATAAATTACATAGAAATGTCAGTCAAATTTGACACGCCCGAAGAAGCCATTGTACGGTGAAATATGCGTTGCGTTTTTGTACAACTGTTTAGTGAAAAATCTCACAATAAAGAGTAATTTGAATACTATATGGATTTTCATCAAGTCTCGACCGATTCCATCAATTATCTTGACAAAGTTTGTTTGAATTATTTCAGTGATCTTGATATCAAAATTTGGCAGGTAAGTTTAGTTTGCGGACAAGTTGGGTTTCTCAAACGACTGATTCAAATAGTAGATACTCCTAGCTTTACCTTCAAGAGATCAAATCCAAGTCAAGAAATTTTGGATTCGCATTGATTTCAGAATCATTTGAGGCTCCTATCACCCTATTAAATAATTTTTTACCCCTCTCTGAATTGAATATTTGGGTGAAACTTATTACAAATAATTATGAAAGAAACAATAAATTTCTGGATATTCTCTTCAAGTATGGAATTAATCTAAATATGTTGTGAATTTTAGTCTCCTTAGAAACCCCATTTCCCACCTCTGATTTGCTACTTTTTTTTTAACCTTGGGTCCAGCCAGTTTTACTGTAATGATGATAGAAACAAATCGAAATTCTTTCCTTTACTGGAAACTCTGAATTTTCAATAATTTCAGGCGCTTATTAAGGTCTCTTTCATTACTCTATTAAACAATGAAACAAAGTGAAGTATTTCCATTTGGTTCTACCAGCTAACAGAACTCACCGAATTTTTAAAAAACAACACATGGAAAATCGGTGATAGGAGGGAATAGGAACCTTAAAATTATGGCGTACTCTAATTCAACAAAGTGTTTTTTTCTATGATTGGATGCTGCTAGCTCAACTTCAAGCTCGCACAACCTACGATATGTCTGTTGAATGATAGCGAGAAAATTTGAAATAGAGTACAGAATTAGCCCTAACATTATGGCCTGATGTATGATGGAACTGGTCTGGCTGGATGAAAATCCCATAACCTATTCACGTAACACTTTATTGTGAGATTTTCATAGAACAGTTTACAAAACCGCAACACATGTTTCACTATACAATAGCTTCATACATTTAAACATGCTGAAGAAGCCATTGTATAGTGAAACACGTGTTGCGGTTTTGTAAACTGTTCTATGAAAATCTCACAATAAAGTGTTACGTGAATACTTTATGACCTGAAAATAATCGTGAAAATCCAAAGAGGTTCTGCTAGCTTAACAAGAGTCTTTCAGTGGAAGCTGATTAAATCGCTTGTATCGAATACCACAAAAGTATCCATTAAACAATAATTTTTCTTATAAGAACACAGGCTTTCACAACCAGAATCACGATTAGAGAGAACAAAATCTGAGCTGGTAAACCGAGGTTGAAAGGAACCTCTAGCACCAAACATTTCATCTGCTACTTAAGCAGTTTTTTCAAGACTCAGTGGTTGCTGAGACTTCGAGACACTATCTTCAACTATGGCCTAGCAACCCAAATTTTGTTTTCTCTAATAATGATCTTTCATGTTTTGACATATGGTTTGTGACACTGATTTGATATTGTAGTCAAATACCAATAAATGTTTGCTTGTGAATGTTAATAGTATGCATTTTTGAGACTGAGTTTTGAATTATAATTGTTACACTAGTCAGGTATAATTTTAATGTTTCTTTGTATATTTCAGCAATCTTCAAAATCATGATATTGTAAAAAAAAATGAAAATATCAGCATACCTACTTCTTGTGTTAATGTATCATAAATTCCAACAGAGTTCAAAAAGAGTCATTCCAATATTTCTACTCTGACAAATACATGTTGCTTAGAACTAAATGAGTTTTGATCCTAGAAGTAGGTCATGATTTTGAAGAACATAACTTTCAAAAAGTTTTCAATAGCAATTACTATGCTGATGAATAAATTATTTTTTATATAAATTTTAAGGCCTTTTTCAGGCGAATTTTAATGAAACAAATTTCAATGAAGAATGAAAATACTTAGTTTCAAGTGATTTGTTATGTTAAAGTTTCAACAATTAGGTGAAAACAGTTTAGAAATGACGAGATTTCATCAGATCCCTCCGAAACTATGGTACCTCACAAAAATTGAAACTGCATAAGAGATTAGACACAGTTCCAAAAGGGGATCAAGAATCTTTTCAAAATCTTCAGTTGTGCAAGCAATAAGTGGATAAGTAAATCTTGTGAGGTATGAAAGTAAACCAATGTTTTATATAACACTACTATGAAGTTTTTTCAATGGTCGACTGCTCTTTAAACATCATCATATTAATGAGTTACATTTTTGAATGAATCAACATTGACTGACAGAGAAATTCAATTCAATAGGTAGATAAGTAACTGCTATGCAATTTAGACTAGAAATTTCCCCAACATTCTTATAGAATGCTCTTCATTTCGATCCTGATTATATTATTACAATCACACTTATTACAAATAATTATGAAAGAAACAATAAATATAAACTCAAAACTTTCAAATAATAAGAAAATTACATCTGTCAAAGTCCAATAAACAAAACAAATATGACATTTGACAATTGATAATTGATAGGCTAAATTGGTTGTCCATTATAAATAATTGAATAATTTTCACCTCAGACAGACATTTTTTATTTCCAGACGCGTTTCGCTAACATTGTAGCTTCCTTGGTAAGAAGCTACTGTAGGAGCAATACATTTTTAACGAGGAAGCTACAGTGTTAGCGAAACGCGCGTAGATTGTTTAATTATTATCATGCATAGTGTTATTAATTTTCATCAACTAACATATCAGTTCATTTTTATTTTCAAACATAATTTGAATTGGTTGTGATTATGGATATGTGGTTTGGTGACATATCAGGTTTACTCCTTGAGAAGTCGTTATTGGATGATTTGTTATCTAACTATTGTTATTCATATTTATATCAACGAGACATGTCAAAAAAGTTTATTCTCGAAGATGTGTAGTAGGCAATGTGTGATTGAGTTTTAAAAACATCTCCAAGTTCCTTAATAATTGATAAAAAATACACCCATATTGTAACGATTCATGGTGGAATTGGCCGATACTTGATGAAAATCCATAACTTTCTTCAGTAACACTTTATTGAGATTTTCACCGGACAGTTCACAAAACCATAACACGTGTTTCGCTATGCAATAACTTCCTCGAGCGTTTTCCCCTAAGGAAGCTATTGTATATAGCAAAACACGCTATATACAATGGAATTTGCCGCGGTGGTAATGCGTCCGACTCACGATCGGAAGACTGTGGGTTCGATTCCCGCCTCGACCAGATATTTTTCTCGAGAGAATTTATCTGGTTGAAGCTGGGATGATTCCGCAACCGTTTTAGGAATCACACGTTGAAAAGTAAGACCTCGTTAGTCCTTAGCTCGCACAAGTTTCTCAACTTCTGAGAGTTGTCGTTCGTATGGGGGCGACAGCTGATTAACGGAAAAACAGATTTTTAAACTGATTTTTTTAAACGTGTTGCGGTTTTGTTAACTGGCAAGTTAAAATCTCACAATAAAGTGTTAGTTGAATTTCTAACTATCCATTTATGAAATACCATTCGAGATAAATATCGTTCATTTAAGGATAACCGTTAGTAAACGACATTTACGAAACACGGTTTCCAAAAAAGTGATGAACCAAACGCCAAAATATTAACTAATTCTGGTAAAAAGGCATGAAGTGACTGAGTTTGAGTGATTTCACCTTAGATAGATATATATGTGTACTGCACTACAAAACCAAGATATAATGGTGGTAGAAATTTTCATACTTCTTTATATTGCCACTCACCTATTGTTAGGTGTTTATGTCAAACGTCAAATTGAATAAATAATTTTATTTTTAATTTTCAGTTGGTGAGCGTGAAGTATGAAGTTCGTCTGAAAAGTACAGGTGGAATTAAATTTTGGTTTATGGTTGAATTTCAACAAATCATCTTTGTCAAGACTGAATGAGCTAGTACAGTTTAATGAGATTGACTATTATTTCAAGCTAGAAAAAGAGGAAGTAAGCATGTAATTTCTTTGAGGCAATATTTACCTTATGCATCTAAAAAACTTGACCGAACACTATATCTGATCTAATTTTTATTCAGGGCCTGCCTCACGATAAAGTCTTTACAGTGTCCCTTACACTGGGAACAGAAACATATATAGGTGAAGGTAAAAGTCTGAAAAAGGCCAAGCAAAATGTAGCAGCTATAGCGTTACATGAGACGAGGTATGAAACACCCCCTGTGAAGGAACCATCAGAAAATGAAGAGTCATTAACTCCTACGGTAATGTTAAATAATCTTGGGGCAAAACTTGGAATAGGGATCACTTACTATTTAATTGACAAGGAGAAGCAGGTATGTTATTTACAATTTTGACGTGTTACTGTCAGTATACAGTTTCAATATTGTTATATCTTCAAATACTATTGTTCAACCTACAAAGTGTTGAGTTTTGAACTTTATACTATTCAATTCACAAATCTCCTAAGGAGTTTTGATTTCTATGTTTTTTAGCATATACTCAACTCCAACCTAGTTGTTAGTGAAAATTCCAAAAAATCCTATGTTCAAAAACTGAATGACTCCATTTATTCGAATAAAAACCTACGAATGAAAAAAGATATTGAAAATACCAAAGGACCTTTTAAAATAAAGGTTCAAGTAGGAGATCAAGTTTTTTCTGGCTATGCCCATTCAATACAAGCAGCAAGACATCACGCTGCATCTAATGCCTTGGATTTCTTGATAAAAAATAAGGATAGTCTTGATCTGGATTGTCTTAAAGAAGGTATGCAATTGATTTCTATAATTTTGTTGATGTTTGAAGCTATTTAAGATTATGATTTTTCAACAGATATTTCATCATTATCTGAAATATTGTATCATCATATCATATCAGGTTCTATCTGAAATTTCTGTCAATATAGAGATAAAGTACACAGATAAAGCTTGTACCTGTTCAGCTATCTAGAGATTGTCATGTCTTACTTTTTTGTTGATTTTTCTGAGATAAATAACTGATAAATTTCAATTGAAGTTATGAAAGAAACTGCAAGAATATTCAACCAGTGAATTTCTCAACATCTACAGGGTGTCCCTGGACTTCCTCTTTTCCTCTCGGGAATGTATAGATGGGGTCAAAATAACACCAGTACTTCATATAACTTTTTTTCCTAAAAGTCTTCGTAACCAAGTTACGGGCCCTCGAAGTTACAAAATGAAAAATGTTTTTCTTCGATAACTTTTCAAGAAACTTGGTTTTTCATAAGCACTTTTGAGAATTAGAGGGATCAAATAGATCTAAAGATTATTTTTAAAATAATCTTCATTTTCAGAAATGTGTTAACACCAGTTTGAAATAGTGTCGAAACATTTGAAGGTATTTTTCAGTTGAAACTACTATCTAATTACTATTTGACTGCCAATCATAATTTCTATTTTAGAAACAAAATATAAAATGAATCATTAATGTTCATATTTCAATCAAGAAATACCACGTCTTTTCATTTTTTATTTAATAAAGCTCATGAATGACAAAGATGATTTTCTGAAAAATCACTTATGCATACAATACGAGGCCAAAGATGAGACGTAACTTACATCTTTTGAGCAATAACAAGTCTAGTTGATGCCATTCGAGATGGCTGAGAGCTTACATTATATAAAAAAGAGCCATTCACATTATTGCTAAACTGAAACTTAATGATCCATGTAAAGAATTGCAGAGAAATGAGAATTTCAACTATGATATCATTCTATATTTATGAAGTTTCTTGTTTCGTGCACAAATATAGAAAGTTTTTTGAATCAGAGAGTTGATATGAAATATGAAACAAACAAAGATTGGTATCACCAAAACACGTTGAGTCTTTACCAGAAAGGCATTTACCACATTGGATATAGGCTATTCAATAGGTTACAACAATATATTGAAGATACAACTGACACAAATCAAGTAGCTTACTAAAAACTAAGTATTATTGTTAATAACACACAAGCAGACCTTAAAACTTTTGTTTGAACAAACCAGAAAACTCAAGAGAAAAACTTTTGTGATCAGTCTTAGATACATCATTCATAATTTTTAATACTGATTTACAACACCCATAAATGCTCATTTACTAGGTTATGTAAAAACCAAGAAAACAAGATGATAGTTTGGCTCATTATGAAAAACTCACAAGGAAACTTTATACAAAATGAAACTATATTCTATAAAAAAAAAAGTTGAATAGTACTGGCCTTTACTTGATGAAAATCCATATTGAAACTTATTAATACAGTTTATTGTGAGGTTTCCACTATAAAGGGTTTTACAAAAACCGCGACACGTGTTTCGCTATACAATAGCTTTCTCAAACGTTTGTCACTCATCCCGTTCACAAAAAAATAAAACTAGTGCGCTGAAAATGTCGGTTGACCTAGTGAAATGATTCTTTTCATATTTTGTAGTATGCCTATTGTTACCTGAACCATAGACTGTTTCAACATGTAGCATTGAAAATACTATCTAGAGTAATTTATAAATGAAAAAACTCATACTTACATCCTAAATCAGAAAGAAATAGGTATACAAAGGTGAGTCGTTGGCAATTATTTAGATTTTTGGAATAACAATTACTAGCATTTGACAATTTACATATTGTTAATTGAAACATTTTTACTGTTTCAATTTGTGTGATTGATGACTTGTTTATTGTGTGGTAAGTTATGATCACTTTAATGAAATGAACAAAAACACTTCTTATACAGTTTTATACCCGATAATGGGGTCAAACCCCAAACCGGTCGTATAAATAAAATCAACTAGTGGTAATTAGACAAAAGTGTTTTATTCATTTCATTAAGGTAAACGGTTTCAATTATTTCATGTTACATCAATAGATTATCAACGCTTGAGAAAGCTATCGTATAGCGAAACGCGTGTGGCGGTTTTTGTAAAACCCTTTTTAGTGAAAATCATACAATAAACTGTATTAATGAGTTTAAATTCAAAAAAAAATGTGTTGAGTAAGAATCAATATAACACAAATGCAAATAAATGCCACAGAAGTACAATATTATATTGCATTGAGCTACTGCATTTTCCACTATCTTTATTTTAACATGTTCATAAATATCAACTTCAGTTCATCTCGATCAATGCATTTTTGAGATTAGAGACAGGAAATCATCTGGTTTTCTTGTTTGCATAGGATAATATTATATTTTCCATTACACTTAAATGTGAAATTTTGATTCATTAATTTGTATATTTGTGTGAATCATTCAAAGAACTGAATAATGGAATCATGTGGTGAAATAAAATGCCTCAAGCATTCCATTTCATCACCAAACAGGCACACATTTTTTCCATTTTGACACAGTTCCAACAAATAGTATGACAACTCAAACCAACAATATTTGCAACACTCTATAGAGCTCGACAAATATCTTTCATCAAGCGCATCATGGGGTGCATCCAAGGTATTGGAATACAATAAAATATCTCATCGAGCCACTACACAGCCAGGCCAGTGGATGAAAAAATCTGCCTGCAACTACTTATACCCTATGAAAGTCTGTTGTATATTTTTGGCAGCTTTGCATTTTATTCTACATCAATAAAATAAATGAAAAAACATATATAGCATCCTATCTTCTACAAGAGAAACGAAGACATCCAGATCTTTGGATGATAGTTAACTCCTTACATCAGAGAGAAGTAGCTATACAAAGGTGAGTCGTCGGAAATTTTTTAGATTTTCAGAATGACTGATGACATATTACTAGCATTTGAAAATTTACATGTTGTTAATTGAAAAGTTTTTACGGTTTCAATTATTTCATGTTACACCAATAGATGTTTTCACAATAGTTGTAACATTTCATATTTCTCGGCGAGTAAATTTTATATAGTAATTATAAATGTTTACCTCAAATTGGGATTGGCTCTGTCTAATGTTTCGCTTATTGGATTACCAAAATTGCCAGATCTGAGTTGAAATATGGAATATAAAATATATTTTCACAGAATAATTTATTAAGACAGATTTTATGAAATGAACCCAAAATAGTAGCATAGGAAATTTTGAAAATAAAAGCAATTCTCCACTAAAAGTTTAAGTTGTTTGAACAGTAGTCACATTGTTTCATATAAATTAATTTNCTAGTAAGTAGTCCAAACTTTTCTTTACATATCGTAAGTAATGTACAAATATTGAACACAGTCAGGATTTCCAGTTACTTCCAAGTCATTTCTACAAGAGGTATTTTAAGGTAATGTGAACATGCCAATCAAAATGTTTTTCTCTAGCATACAAAAACATTATTAAGGTTGGTGTAATTTCTTCAGTAGAACATACCACGAGAAAGAAACCTGTGCATGTATGAGGTCTGTTCAAGAAGTATGGTCAATTAGCGATTTTTTCATTTTTTCTGTTGGTACAGTCATCTCGAACCTATGTTCACAGTTTCAGTTGTTTAACATGTTTAGTTTGTTGGTGAGAGGCATAAAAGTTAGAAGTTTTTTACCTGTTCGGTGATTTTCTTCTATCCTATAAAATGGAACAAACAATTTGCATCAGATTTTGTGTAAAAAACGGAATAAGGTACTCAAAAAACACTTGAGAGGTTGGCAGTGGCATACGGTGATTTTAATCTCGAGTCAGATAAATGTTTACATGTGATAGGTAGGTACAAGCTTGTCACAGAAGGTCGAGATGTGAATGACGCCGCTCGCCTTGGACAACCGTTGAGAAAGTGATGAAAATTGTTATAGAGAATCGTCGAATCACTATTAGAGAAGTTGCTGAGGATGTTGGCATATCGGTTGGCTCATGCCATGCAATTTTTTCGGAAATTTTGGACATAAAGCGTGTGGCATTGAAGTTTATTCCAAAATTGCAGAATTTTGACCAAAAAACCGTTGCATGAACATCTCCAGGGATTGTTGAATGACGTCAACGGCGATCCAGATTTGATCAAAAGGGCCATGTACGAATCATTGGTATATGGTTATGACATCGAAACCAAAATCCAGTCTTCCCAATGGAATAGCTCAGGAGAGCAAGACCAAAAAAAGCACGCCAAGTTCAATCAAATGTCAAGGTTTTGCTCTCTGTTTTCTTCAGTTACAGTGTAGTGCATCTGGAGTTCTTGCCACATGGTCATATGGTCAATGAGGAGGTATTGTGGAAAACCATTCATGACTCACCCTATTCACCTTATTTTTTTCAACAGACCTCTTATACACATGGCAGAAAGAGAGCAAATTTTAATACTCAAACAATATTGCAAAGTTTCCACTTTCAAGAGATTTTTCAGGTCTCATAATATGTTTTTTCCAAATGTGAGTTATGTGTATTTTCACTCTCAACATGATTCAACCTGTCGGCGAGATTACTCCCATTAAGTCAAAATATTTAATGATTACATTGGATTATATGATAGGGATAGGGAGAGAAATTTATTGTTTTGTTACTAAAAGGTTCTGCCAGTTAGACTGTTTTCTCGAAATTTTTAGTAATATTTCTTATCTGATTTAGGTTCAGAAGAGCAATGCAAAAAAGCCAAACAAAACTTGAAGTCGCCAGTATCTTTAGTTTATGAGTCAGCACAGATGCGAAAACTTGATGTAGAGTTTGAAATAATTAAAGAATTTGGCCCTCCTCACAAGAAAACATTCGTTACAGAATGTAGAGTGGGTCATTTGACAACAACAGGAGAGGGAAGGTCAAAAAAGGCATCTAAGAAAGCTGCTGCTGAAGACATGTTAGAGAAAATGTCAGAGTTAGAACCGATACCTCAAGAAGTGCAAGTTAAAAGTATGCTTAAAGATAAAAAGAAGAAAAATAAGAAGAAGAAGATCATTAAAAATAAGTTGGATGAAATAAGCATGACTGTTGGAAATGTGATAGACTCTGTGGTGGGATTTGGCAAAGACATTCTGGCTGATAAGAAGGTAAGTTAAGTCAGATATATTTTGTCATCGAAGAAAATGTATTTTACATGCTAATCATTTTAAATAACTTTCAGTATTAGACACTTATCCAGTTATATCAAAAAAGATATCAAAAAATGCTTTAATCCGTTTTGAGAAACAGTCAGAGTAATCTGTCTAAAAAATATCTGGTCGAGGCAGGAATCGAACCCGCGACCTTCCGATCGTGAGTCGGGCTCACTACCACCGCGGCCAATTCCACAACAAGTAATAAAATATAATTTCCGTTATTCTTACCCCTCCCCCTGACCCAACAACCACGCCTCAAAAGGTAGCCTTCATTAGTGAAATTGAAGATTTTGAAAAATGTCACCGGTCTGTAGGTGAACAACTTGACTGTTTTCAGTATGGTCCTGCTGCTTAGAAACCTCTCTACTATATTATGCATGTTATATACATATAAACCTTCCTCTTGAATCACTCCGTCTATTTAAAAAACCTGCATCAAAATCCGTTGCGTAGTTTCAAAGATCTAAGTATACATAGAGACAGACGGCGGGAAGCGACTTTGTTTTATACTATGTAGTTATAGTAGCAATTTTATTTATGTATAGATTTCATGATTGAATAGTGAAAAAAGATCTTTACATATTAATATCGGTAAGATCATTCAGATGAGCAGAAAATAATAGCTCAAAAAAAGTTACATAAATAAATGCAAACTCAATCAAACCAGCATGATTATTTGAATAATGCAGTAAGAAGGTTTAAAGAAGTCTCAAACTGATTGCCCTAAGCTAGTCTTCTTGTTTTAGGGTGATGACAAAACCGACAAAAATTCGTCAGACGGTCCTAAATCCAAGAAAAGCAAGAAGTCGGAAAATTTAAAGCAAACCTATCAAGACCAACTTCTGGAAATGAGTAATGCTCTGAATTTTGAAATATCTTACGCAGATTTTGAAGAAGGAAGTAAACATTTTTCCCTCCTCTCGTTGCACATCAATCCTGAATATGTAAGCATCAGTTGTTAGTGATGAAGTGAACTTTCAAAGGGAATGAGACATATGAGAAAATCATGAATTTCTGTTTTCAGTTGTGTTTTGGAGAGGGATCCAATAAAATGCAATCGCGAAATAAAGCTGCAGATAAGGGTTTGGATTTATTGGGCAAAATGGGTTTATTTGATATTTTGAATGATCAGAAAACTGTTCCTTTGGAAAGGTATGTTTAATTTTTTTTTTTAATCATTTTTTTATAGGGATACCAAAGAAGCAGTACATCATGTTCTGGAACATCACATATCTCAAGATAAAGATGAACTGTAAAAATTTTTGTTTTTTGTTGAACACCAAAATTTTTGTTTTTTGTTGAACACCAAAATTTTTGTTTTATGTTGAACACTAATTTTTTTTAAAGTTTTTGCACTTTTTGACTTCGTTTTGTACTGAATGTAAAAAGTATTGTTTGAAGTAAACTTTGATTTTCATAATGTTTTATTTGTCTTCATTTGTGATTCAACAACACAACTTCTAAGAAGCTGCATTCTCAAAAACTCAAATTGAAATACAATTTTGTATCCTTTTGGATTTATAACCAACCCTTGTGGCTAATAGTTTCATATTTTTCATTATGTTGAAATTCGGAATCAAAAGAACGAATAGAGTTTGAAAAAAGAATAGGATGCAAGATGTCTTATTTGAGTAAAAATTTTGCTTTGTCTCACATTTGTCACTCATGACAAATGAGTGAAAATGTTCCTTGGCCTACTGATATTATTCTTTTCATATTTCGTCACCTGAACCATAGACCATTTCAACATGTAGCATTGAAAATACTATTTAGAGTAATTTATAGAAGAGGGATTCATTTCTTATAAATAACTACAGATAAGTGATTTTACTATAAAACATCAGTTTTCTCCATCTTTTGAAACGCGCGTCGAGAAGAGAATTGCAGTTCTGGCAATTGGGAAAAGTGCTTGTTTTGCATTTTATTCTACATCAATAAAATAAATGAAAAAACATATATAGCATCCTATCTTCTACAAGAGAAACGAAGACATCCAGATCTTTGGATGATAGTTAACTCCTTACATCAGAGAGAAGTAGCTATACAAAGGTGAGTCGTCGGAAATTTTTTAGATTTTCAGAATGACTGATGACATATTACTAGCATTTGAAAATTTACATGTTGTTAATTGAAAAGTTTTTACGGTTTCAATTATTTCATGTTACACCAATAGATGTTTTCACAATAGTTGTAACATTTCATATTTCTCGGCGAGTAAATTTTATATAGTAATTATAAATGTTTACCTCAAATTGGGATTGGCTCTGTCTAATGTTTCGCTTATTGGATTACCAAAATTGCCAGATCTGAGTTGAAATATGGAATATAAAATATATTTTCACAGAATAATTTATTAAGACAGATTTTATGAAATGAACCCAAAATAGTAGCATAGGAAATTTTGAAAATAAAAGCAATTCTCCACTAAAAGTTTAAGTTGTTTGAACAGTAGTCACATTGTTTCATATAAATTAATTTGTCGACTCCGATCGGATGCACAAGTTGATGATGCATGTATTTTTTGCCAACCCAACTATAATTAAATAGTGTGCATTCATGATTTTAACGTAGATCCTGACTCAACTGCAAACTATATAATTTGCTACCAGATAAGTTTAAAAAAATGCAACCATGTATACGTTTAAATTCACTATTAAACTCTTCTTGATGGACAACGCTTTCTACTCACTAGAGGAATATGAAACTTGTGTGATAAATGGGGGCTTGATGACGTATACTCGCTGAGCAGTCATAAACCCAACCTAAACTAATAGTCTCACATGTATGTATATCTGTTTAATCTTAATTTTAACATTTAATTTCAACTATTTTTTGTTTGTAACTTCTGCACTTTATATTTTACATGTTTTTT